GACTGAGGTGAGATTTGTCTTCTGTCAAGGAAGAATGAGGCGACACAAATTAGTCTTCATACAGTAGTGGTTTGCACAAAAGTTTGAAACCTTGTTGGTTACATCTTAAAAATGTCTTTAATGGCCGAAAGATCTAAGCTGTCCACTGTTATCAATCGGTCCAAATTCATTACAAGGTGAAGTAATTACTGAGCATTTTCCAGCGCTCCTCGTGTAGCAGCATGGGTTCATCCCCATGCTACCTCACTTCGCTCTATTCTTTCCCGTTTCCTGACATTTTAAAGCTTAATCAGGTACCCATGTGGTTTTATCTTTTGGCGTTTTATGCAGAATTTCTGTTTTTGTCTTAATTCAGTTTATCCACGCTAGAGTGTATAGGCCGCATTTCTCTGTAGAAGTCTTTTGCACACAGTTACAAGAGTAGGTTTATCCTGCTAATTTTCCAGCCACTTTCGTTCTCTCCTGTTTTCTGGAATAGGTTGGACAAGTATGATAGTCTAGATACGCAGGATAGCTCGTTTTGGTTAAATGAAAAGTCCTTGGTACTTTATGAAACATCTTCAAACTCGTGTGAATAATTGCGGAAGTTGCTATTTTTTAGCGAAGCCTCCATTAGCTGTTTGCTACCCTTTTTTCAAAGATTTGATGGTCAAGTAGCATGTAGCCAATGTTATTCAAATAGAATAAGTGAAATAAACACCCAAGACCTAAGCAGATGATGCTCCACTGCATCCAAGCACTGCCGATTTTCAAATACCAATTTGTTGCGGCCTCCTTAAATTACCTCTTCAGGCTTCCAGTAGCAAGAGTTGTGCAAAATTGCCCTATAGCCTATAATTGCCCTATTTTTAATGTTTACGGCAGTACTGGCATGAACCAACTCCAGTTGCTTGTAAATTATAAGCCATGGCAACTTCATAGTTTTTTCAGGATAGTGACATCGCAGCAGTTTCATGAGCATGTATGTTACTCAAGTAACAAACTCAAAGTTATTACGTGAATGGACATTTGTCTCCCCTAGTTAGGGCTACGGTATTGTGTCCACGCTCTTGTGGTGCTCAAATGCCGTGGAATTGTTAGCTGAATAAATGGTCCCAATAGGTATCCAAAAACAAGAGACGGTGCAACATTGCCGTATAATTGGGTGTCATGACTCTTATCGTCATTCTCATTAACAGTATTGGTTAAAACCATGAATTTCGAGTAAAAAAGTAAACTAAAGACATGTCTTTAAAATATTTAGTTGCTTGTATCATCTGTCATATTAGTGACAATCGAACCGTTTTAACGTGTTATCAGTCCAGTTAATCTGAAATCGACAAATTACAGCTGTGATATTCTGGTTTTACTTTCAAAAACGTTTTCTTGATGTTTCTTTATGACGATTATTTTCAGGTATAACCGACTGTGGTGAATGCTTCCAAAATTCAAACTGCATCTTTACCGATGGAAAAACCACGTGCCACTGTCTGCCGGGCTTTAAAGGCAATGGCTTTAACTGCACAGGTATCGAAATCATGTTCGAAAAAACACTGCAATAAAATAACTGTACAATTTTTATCATAAGATATCAACGAGTGCGCAGAACCCATTTCGCCCTGTCATCCTTTGGCGACATGTATAAACAAGATCGGTAGTTATAAATGTTACTGTCCTCATGGATACATCGGCGATGGGATCAAAAACTGCAGATTAATAGTTGAAACGAGTACAGGTATGATTAATCGGAGTTTCGACTTATCTCCTCATTTGGTTCTTTTAGCCACAGAGGGGCCGACGGTTTCCACAGGTCATTACGGTACGTTAGGTTTTAAATCAGCTACGTTCTATAATTTAGAAGCTGCCGTTATGCGAGAGAATAAAACAAGCGTCGTTCCCGATATGAAGCCCGGTTACGGTAAGCGCATGCTTTCCCAACTTTAAACGTACCTCTATCTGTTAAATATTGGTTTTAGACGAATCTGTGTGTTCGCTGTGCGACCAAAATGCCGAATGCGTTGTTTATGGTGGAAAGACGATATGCGCATGCAAATCCGGCTTTTCTGGAAACGGATATGAGTGCTCAAGTAAGAACTTTCTTGTGCCAAGTATAAGATATTTGATGCTCCGTGCAGATCTTCAAAATAGGTTGCCGATACAATAGTTCAAGGCACAAATGTGAGTCGAATAAGTTTGTTTATTTTACGCACATTTCTGGCCATGTTGTAATGTTGTCCAAGATGTCGGCTTAAAATTGATTAATTCGCATCATCTTTGAGACTTTAACCATTTTATCGAAAGAGCTTTTGTTTGGAAAAATATCTAAGTTCAAATATTAACACGGAATCAGCATGAATTTCAAAACATAACTGTTATCTCTCTGAGATTAATTTTTTCCTGTTTTAAATTTAGTGTTAGAGTCAGTTTATATTTTT